TTGTAGATGGAAAAAAAAAAAAACCGTTAGCAGTTCCAATCTTCTGTGAAATGTGCCCCATGCTTTGTGCTTGCATTTTTAATGTGCCTTTCAAAACAGAATTGATTTGGTTCTTTCTTTTAAAATATAAAACAATAAATATTTTATAAGGGGAGGGATAGATTTTTTCTCTTTTTTGGGGTATAAGCAAACTGAAGCAGTAAAAATAATCTCAGCCTATTAAACAGTTGAAAGCAAACAATGCTGTTTTTAGTCTGAGCTTCCAAAAAATACTTAGCTCAGGATGTAACCTGTTCGACAGGTGCTGTCTCAGGAGGTTTTGCCCTGGCGCATTGTGAAGTCTATCCACTGCTCAGGCCTCTGTCCTCCCAAACAAGAGGAGGGGGCACAGCAGCACAGAGGGTCTGGAATGCCCTCACAGGGATTCGTTCAAAGGGACAAATCACAGATGGATCGTGGCATGATTGCTGGTGGAAGTCAGGCGCCCTTATCTGGAGAAAAATGACACATTTCACGCATTATGCAGCTTTCTGTGAAAATGAAGCTGCTCGGTCGCGTTCGACTCTGTGAGACCCCGTGGACTGCAGCCCATCAGGCTCCTCCGTCCATGGGATTCTCCAGGCAAGAGTACTGGAGTGGGCTGCCATGTCCTTCTCCAGGGGATCTTCCCGACCCAGGGATCAAACCCGGGTCTCCCACATTGCAGGCAGACGCTTTAACCTCTGAGCCACCAGGGAACCCTTTATGGAGTGTTCTACAATATGAGCTTATTTCATGTGAACAAGATGGCCACTCTTTGCCAAGCTCCCCATTCAGGCTTTGGGAATGGAAAGAGGGTTATCAGGACACGACTCCCTGTGTTCCACAGAGCTCGTCCTCTTGCATCCACTTCTGTAACGTGTGTGCTGAACACCTGCTGTGTACCTTGTACTGCAGGAGATGAAAACGTGCATGAAGCACAGACGCTGCCCGCAGTGAACTTGAGGGCTATGGGAGATGTGGACCCGTGCACTGCTTATGCTCAGAGAAGCAGAGGGGAAGGAAGGAGAGGAGGACAGACGAGGACGAGGGAGGGGGAGGAGAGCTGAGGCAGTGAAGGGCGTGTGAGAGAGCTGGGGGGCCCCTGGGAGGGGAGCGTGGCTGGCTCTCCTCTGCAGACACCACTGGATGCTGCACGAGGCGACTCTTTCTGCATTAGAGCTTAATCTCACCTGAACTTTAGGAAACAGGCGTTTGTGGTGGCTACTGCTGCTTCATCCTTCCTCTCTCACTAGGGCCATGACTTTTGTGAACTGAAGGGCCTCACCCATCCTTTTGGTAACAATCCTGAACCTGCCTTGCCAGTCTAATTATTAGCAAATTGTTCTTGCTAGATCAATGGGCATGCTTTCAAGTCTAATAAGAATGAAGGAAAAGTGTTCAAAGCTGGAGATATTTTTAGTCTGACAGAGAGATTGATTTTCTATGAGATCCTGAATTGACTTAAAATAAAAAAACTTTTAAACTCCAGCTAACATTTCAAGTTTGCAACTTACCATATGAAGGAATGTTTCCTTGGATACCCCTCCATTCCCACCAATTTCTCATCATTGCTCTTGGTTGGGAACTCATTCATGCTTTCTCGGTAAATGTAACATCTTACTGTTATCAACTTTTGCTATATAAATATATATTTTAAGTGCAACTCAGATGCTTAAAACCATAAGTATGTATCATGATTCTGTAGGCTAGCTACACATTCTGGCGTGTAATTGATCATCTGAGGCTAAACTGGCCTCATTCAGATGCTTGGGAATTCCGCTGGGGAGCTGGGAGGGCTGGGGTCTCTCCCTGTGGCTTCTCATGTTTTGGAAGCAGTTTGGGTCCCCATTGCGTGCAAGAAAGGGCAATCCTGAATGCACACTTAGCAAGACTCTCCCCCCAGTTCACTGGCTGGTGTCCCCTTAACTGAAGCAAGGCAAGAGACCGTATTCAATTCGAGAGTTGGAGAAGGTGGCATCACTCAGCAGGGGAGACGGCAGTCACACTGCAAATGGCCGTGTATACAGGAGTCAAGACGAGGCTGCCGCCACCATCCTCTGCCTCACCAGTTCAGCTGAGAGGCCGGCAGGAGGGGGCCTCATGGAAGACGGTGTTAGGGGACTGACCTTCCTGTACCTTGTTGCTGCTGTGAGTCAGTCACGAAGTTGTGTCCGACTCACTGCGACCCCACAGACTGCAGCAAACCAGCTTTCCCTGCCTTTCTTGATCTCCTGGAGTTTCCTCAAACTCATGTCCCTTGTGTTGATGATGCCATCCAACCGCCTCATCCTCTTTGCCTCCTTCTCCTCTTGCCCTCAATCTTTGCCAGCTCCAGATCTTTTCTAATGAGATGACTTTTCACATCAGGTGACCAAAGTATTGGAGCTTCAGCTATAGCATCAGTCCTTCCAATGAATATTCAGGGTTGATATCCTTTGGCATCGACTGGTTTGATCTCCCTGCAGTCCAAGGGACTCTCAGGATGCCGCAATTTGAAAGCATCAGTTATTCAGCGCTCAGTCTTCTTTATGATCCAACTCTCACATCCATACATGACCACTGGGAAAACCACAGCATTGACTAGATGGACTTTTGTTGGCAAAGTAATGTCTCTGCTTTTTAATATGCTGTCTAGGTTTGTCACAGCTTTCCTTTCAAAGAGCAAGCATCCTTTAATTTTGTGGCTTCAGTCACCATCCCCAGTGATTTTGGAGTCCAAGAAAATAAAATCTGTCACTGTTTCTACTTTTTCTCCATCTATTTGCCATGAAGTGATGGGACCAAATGCCATGATCTTAGTTTGGTGAATGTTGAGAATTACCCGGCTTTTTCACTCTCCTCTTTCACTTTCATCAAGAGCCTCTTTAGTTTCTCTTCACTTTATGCCATAAGGGTGGTGTCATCTGCATATCTGAGGTTATTGGTATTTCTCTTGATTCCAGCTTGTACTTCATCCAGCCTGGCATTTCTCATGATGTATTCTGCATATAAGTTAAATAAGCAGGGTGACAATATACAGCCTTGACGTACTCCTTTCCCAATATGGAACCAGTCCATTTTTCCATGTGCGGTTCTAACTGTTGCTTCTTGACCTGCATACAGATTTCTCAGGAGTCAGGTCAGGTGGTCTGGTATCCCCATCATTTAAAAAATTTTCCACAGTCTGTTGTGATCCACACAGTCAAAGTCTTCAGTGTAGTCAATGAAGCAGAAGTAGATGTTTTTCTGGAACCTCTTTGCTTTCTCTAAGATCCAACAGATGTTGGCAATTTGATCCCTGGTTCTTCTGCCTTTTCTAAATTCAGCTTGAACATCTGGAAGTTCTCAGTTCACATACTGCTGAAGCCTCGCTTGAAGGGCTTTGAGCATTAAAATGGTACATTTCCTCTTGTACCTTGAAGAGTGCCTAGTGTGGATGGATGTCCTTGAAGCTCACCTCCACTGCAAGTTTCTTCATTCTGCACTTCCTCACTCCTTAAAGCTTTTAGAAACTGTACTAAGACCAGATGTTGACAGAGGAGCTCATGGCCAAGTGGGGGGGGNGGGGGGGGGGTGCACCAAAGCAAGAGTGGAGCTTAATAAAGAAAAAAATGGGCACAGGATAAGATGAGCAGACAGAAGTTGATTTCATTCTGACACTATTGCCAGGAGCAGGGCAGAGTGCCCAGAACAAGCCTGGATCCTTAGCCTCACTGACACAAACAGCAGAAGGTTTTAAACCCTGAGGATGAGCCAGTGGAAAAGTACCGGAGCACACTTAGTTACTCCTGAGTTTGCAAAGGTTTTTTTCTGTGACTAGGCCACCTGTGTTTGCCAACTGGCACCCATGGAAGTTGACTGCTACCCTTCACAGAAACTGCGAGAGTAGGGCACTTTATCCTTCAATGTTGACTTTTCAAAATGCTTCATAAGTCCTTGAAAAAAGCATTTCCTGGGTTGTAAAATTGGCAAGAGGCTGGCAAAAGATTTACATACAATTCAAAGTGAACGAGAAAGGATTTACAATGGCCAGTTTCCGAAAATAAATGCTCCAAGAAAAGTCATACTTTTCTTGACTGAGGGAGGAAGATGACTTTCTGAAGTTTAGTCAGGCTAAGGGGATGGTTAAGACCATTTTGATCAAGCTGTCCAGAAGCAAAACACCCTATTAGATACTTCTGCACAGGGCCGCCTAAGCTAGATATCTTCCTCACATAATGACTATCAGAGAGAAGGATACTTTAAACAGTTTGGTATTTTAATAACTATTCCAAACTTTTTTAAGAATTTTAGGGAAAAAGCTCTGTTTCTAGGAATGAATAGTCAATGTCATATGAATGTTTCTCTAGGTCCCAACTATGCATCTCTGACCCAGTGATGTATCTACAATGAGTATCATTTACTGAAATACCCGGTAAAGGCCAGGTAGCTGATATTCACTCTATAGAAGAGGAAAATTAGAGACATTAGATGAATTGCTTCAAGTTTTAAAGATCTGTACAACAAAGATGGGATTTAGACCAAAATGTGTCTGACTACAAATGCCTTTGCTGTTCAGTCGCTAAGTCATGTCCAACTCTGATCCCGTGGACTGCAGCACACCAGGCTTCCCCGTCTTTCACTGTTTTCCAGAGTTTGCTCAGATTCACGTCCATTGAGTCAGTGGCGCTATCCAACCACCTCATCCTCTGTTGCCTCCTTGTCCTTTGGCCTTCAGGCTTTCCCAGAATCAGGGTCTTTTCCTTTGAGTCAGCTCTTCGCATTAGGTGGCCAAAGTACTGGAACTTCAGCTTCAGCATCAGTCCTTCCAATGAATACTCAGGGTTGATTTCCTTTAGGATTGATTGATTGATTGATCAGTCCTAAAATGCCTAGGCTCCAAGAACTTCTCTAAGAAGCTGCCCTTAGCATGAAATCTGGCCTTGGATTACTTTAAGGGATGCTCAGACTCTGTCTTAAATACTCTTTAACTTCCTGTCTATTTCTCATTTTCCCCACAGTCCAGCATCTGTGCTTCCGAAACAGTTACCCTTATGCCATCTGGTCCTGTGGCCTATCAAAACCAGATCTCAGGTATGCTCCTGATGTCTACCTTGCAAAGGTATCGGACTGGGTATCCTTTTAATTGGAAAAATGAAATGTTAATGTCCTATGCAGGGAAATATAGTGGACAGTACAGTGGATGAGGAAAGCATTGTTTATTTACATTTTTTTGTTTGTTTGTTTTTGAACTAGTGGGGTGAGGAGGAGAAGGTGCCAAATCCATGGTGCCTGAAGACAGCTCAGCACAGCCAGCAGTGTGGAGAGCAACAGCCTTGCTAAGCTGGTTCCACAGGAAGCATTCACATGCTCTGAGAAGTTGCATTCCCATCAGTAGTAGAATATTCATTTTTTTACTTTCCTGATATAAGGAGATTTCTTAATTAAAAGTTTCACAAGTACCGTTTTCTCCTTGTTGAAGTTGATTTTCCATCCAGTTTTAATGTTGCTAGTAGTAGGGTTATTCTTAAAACCATCCCTAAAAAATAATTAGCAAGCTCCCCAGAAACTGCTAGACCATCCCCTCACTCTCTAGAAATTCTGTTCATGCCGTTCTAACTGCTACACGATTAACAGTTTGCTAGTTCCTGTGAGCAGTGGAAAGAATGAGCAGTGAACGTGGATTTAAGGATTTCTCATGCTCACGCTCCTTTGTTTCAGGAATGGGAAAGCCAAGAGCTAATTAGTTAGGACAGGGAAGGAAACAAGATCCTTCTCCCCTCCTTCAATGCCCCCATATGTTATTTCCGGAATAAATAGCCCAAAAATTATAGGCCAGGAATAATAATGAATGAATTTATAAATGAATTTATTATTCATAATAATTTATGAATGGTGACATAGAGGAAACACTGGAGAACGGACGACTTGCTCCTCAGTTTTGGTTAAGCCGCCGGAGGCTTCACTCTCCAGCAGGCAGAGACGTTGGCTCCGCCCTAATTGTCTCATCTGGCGAGTCCCTTTGGCCCCCGGGAAGGGGGCCAGATCACAAATGTGAACACTACCCTTCTCAGCTTACACTGAGAAAACGCTTCTCCAGTGCTTTGTTCAAGGCAGAGGCCGAGCGACTCACTGTCACTGCAGCCCGCCTCCAAAGACCCCACAGACACTGTCCATCTGCATCTTCCAGGGTTGTTGTTTTTTTTTTTTTTTTAAGCCCCAACAGTTGCCCATGTGTGGAGAATTTGGTTGCAGTGAGCTGCAAATCACTCAGTAACTTTCCCTTGGGAACCTCACAAGACAGAGAAGTAGCTCAAAGGATACTATTTTTAGAGTTTCAGTTAGGTTCATCTTCAGCATCTAGCTAAGAAAACCGTGATTAAAAATGACCGCCCCCTCTGGCCCGGCGCCGCGAAGCAGACTCACCACCCTCTGTGGGCAGCTGCAGCCTTTACTCTTGGCCTGGAGACTGGCTTCAGACCTGGTTCCTTCACCACAGTGAGTTGTGGGAAACGCTGTCCAGTGTGAACGAACTTCTGCCTCTGGGTGTGTGCAGGTACAGAAGGCGATATGAGGCTGTGCTCTAGAAAACCCCAGACGTGCAGTCTGGGACTCAGTGTGTGACTTGACCAGCTGGGTACCATTCTTGTTAGGTGACGAGAGCTTCCCCAAATCCCCACCTAAACGGTTGATTGTTACAGACCATCATCACAGCAGGAATGGATGTTTCACTGAAGGATCAAGTGTTTAACCTGCTGAAACATTTATTTCACATTAGCTGTTAAAACTTTCCCCATCGTATACAACCCATCTGGGTAAAGGGCTTAATAGTAAAATTGATGGGCTCAACATCGTAATCAGGTCAGTAAACTGTCTGATTTACTGACATAGTCCAATACTTTGTCCACCTGATCCAAACAGCCGACTTGGAAAAGACCCTGATGCTGGGAGGGATTGGGGGCAAGAGGAGAAGGGGACGACAGAGGATGAGATGGTTGGATGGCATCACCGACTCAATGGACATGAGTTTGAGTAAACTCTGGGAGTTGGTGATGGACAGGGAGGCCTGGCGTGCTGTGATTCATGGAGTCGCAGAGTCAGACACGTCCGAGTGAACAACAAACACAATGCGTCAAATAGTTACACGCTAGTAAAGGGAGGGAGGTGAGGAAATGGGTTTTGACTGACTAAAAATGCTAATTGCCAATACAAAGAAACAACCATTATAAACCATTTTCATTGCCCTTTATGGCATATAGTTTAATGTGTATGTATTCTACATTAATAGGCAACAATATTTAACTGTGGGCAGACAAGGAAGCCTCCATCCTCTATAAGAGGGATTACAGGAGCAGTCTAGTGAAGGGGATGGAACCAGGTATCTGGTCTAAAGAAGTTCAAGAAAGAAGGATTTTAGTTAGCTCTTTAAAGAGTTAACGGAGAGTCCATTTCTGTAGCAATGGCTGTGACTCTAGTTGAATCTCTCTGCTGTGATCCATGCAGTAAGAAATGCAGACATACAGTAGGATAGGACTTTTTTCTGACCAATGTCTTTCTTCTGTATAGGCGTACATGCACGAACATGCAACTTTCATGCTCCCTGTCATAGAATACACACTCCCTTATCTGATATATTTAACCAGAGGAAGGATATTGTTCTGTAAGAGCAAGTTTCTAAGAGATGCTACATGGCTCACCACCGTCCAACATTTTATCTTCTATCAAAATAGGTCCCTTTGGGAAAGACAGAAAATCATGTTTTGTATTCCTATGTGGACATTTTAGTATGATTGGTTAATTTTACCCCTGAGAATTATTTTGTTATATGTTTTTATATACAATTATTTTCTAAGTGTGCTGGTTTTAGCATGGTTGAGGTAATATGACTCTCATACCAAAGGAATAGACTTTTGTCTTGCAAAGCATTCTTTTGGGATTGATGACTTTCAAGCATCTTTGATTACTGCAGTGACTCAATACACCTTCTTTTTTTGATAACCTCTCTTTTCCCTACCAAGATGCTCATTGTACTTAACGTCCTTCGGACGGAGCTTCATCCAATTCTTGAAAATTAGGACCTCTCTTCTCATCCCAGCTTATTTCTTCATCTATTCCCTTAAATCCCTCTCATTGCTCGTCCATACAGGCATTCTATTTACAAACATTTCTGTCTCCCACACCATTAATCTTCTGGCTCACTTTCCTCACCTTTCAAGAGACCCAAATGTATCCTGTTCTCCAACCACCTACCTTGACACTGTGTTTCCCACCTGACACTATGCAAACTCTTCTCATGTAAATTTCTTACTCCACCTTTACTTCCCTTTGCCTATAATATTAACTGTATTCTTTTATCCACCGTTTACGCCTAAATTTGCTATGATTTGCTTTCAGCCTCCCATACTCTTTGTAAGCTGCGCTTGAAGATTATGAACTAGCATCCAGGTGTGAATCCCAGTAACCTTTTCCAGCTTGCAGCTTCCAGACTTCTCTCGTGCAGACTGCTCTGTGTGCTTGGTGCTGGTGACAGCATCTGTCCCCCCCACCCCCACCCCCTCCCCTGCCTTCCTGTCTCCGTCCGACCATCTATGCTCCTCCTCATTTGTCAAAGCCCAGGTTAAGCCCAGGCTTCCAACTTCTGCCCAGTGTCCCTGTCAGTCTGTTTGTTTCTCTTTAGTGACGTCACCCGGTCCCTGCCCTCTCCTCCATGGCTCCCGAGGGGGTCTCTTTAGGCCACACTCTTCTTTATGGAGCTCTAGGTAAACCTGCTGGACATTTGGGACATGTAGGTGTCCCAAACACTCATTAGACTCAGTACGTCCCAAATGAAACTTATTCATCCTGCCAACTAGAATTTAGACTCACTATTCTACCAGTATTTCTTTAGAAATTCAAAAGAACCGAGATTTATAAAGAGTAATTTAGTAATTGCCTCACATCTGAGGGGTAGAAAGATACATTTTAAGTTCAGGGGCAGGACAGTGTTATCCCTGTTCCCAGTTTTATAAGAGGACTAGTCCTGATTTCCTACTATATTCAAAGAAACCCTATGACTCCTGACTTAGAATAGATATAAATCCCCAGCCTTTAGTTAAGAAATAGCATTTCTAATTCCTCCTTTGTCCTAACCTTCTCATATCACCTCCTTCAAACCTCATCCTAGACCTTAGGAACAACAATCTGGCTCCTGGAGATTTTTAAAAAATTAAATACAGTTACCCAGAATTCTGTGTATCTGAAATGTTTGTCTATGTAGAACTGATGGGGAGTGGATCTGTTTTGCTAGAATTGCCACTTGACTGGAAACGCCCACAGGCACTCAGAGAATCACTGAGTTCCAGACAGACTCCTTCCTACCTCACTGTGTAGTCATCATTGGTGATAGAGTTCATTTGCAATTAGTAATCAGAGTAGTGATTGGCATGAAGTTGAAAAAGACTAATGGTAATCACATTTGAAATATTGACTCATCCATTAATATTACCTACTAAAATCAACTTTATTGAAGAATAATATACTCAACAAAATGAAACCATTTTAAGTATGGAGTTCAGTGAGTTTTTAACTCATTGGGTCCCCATACTAATTAAGATAAGAAATGTTTTTACCACACCCTCCATTTCCCTCAGGCTCCGTGTGAATTAGCTAGGATTTTCATAACAAAGCACTACAAGCTGAGTGGCTTAAATCCTGAAATGTATTGTCTCGCAGTTCTGGTGGCTAGGAATCTGAGATAAGATGGTTAGAAGTGCTGGTTCCTTCTAAAGCTTGTCAAGAAGAACCCATTTTTTGTCTCTCTCCTAGCTTCTGTTGGCTTGCTGCATTCTTTGGGAGATTTTGGTTTGTAGATGAATCACCTGATCTCTGCCTTAATCTTCACATGCCATTCTCTCTGTGCCTGTGTCTCTGCATCCTAATTTCCCTATTTTATAAGGACGTGGGTTATAGTTCGTGAGAGTCTGATAGTCTCACCTGGACTACATTTGCAGAGACCTTATTTCCAAATAAGGTCTGATGCACTGGAGTTAAGAGCTAAATACATCTTTCACCATAACTCCCCTTTTCCTGAGAGCACGGCCCAATGTACCACATGAAGAAGAATCCCGGTTCAGTGATAGAAATGTTCAAGCAGAGTCAGGACATGTTAATTGCATGAACAGGTTGTTCAAATTTCCATGTCACCTGTGTCAAGAAACATTTATGGTTTCAGTGTGGTTTCTTTCATCAGCCAACAGAGTTCAATATATAACAGCTTGACAAGCCTGAATCATCACTGTTTCTCTTCTATGCAATCTTAGGATTTGCTGGGTTAAAGGCCCTCATTTCCAGGGCTGATGAAGTAATGCTCTGATAAAGGGGTGCAATAGTGGATCCATCAAACTTGAAGCCATGACTCCTATTGGGACATTTTGGAATCCTCTTGCTATTGAACCAGTAAAGAAAGGAATTACCCAACTGGTGG